GAGTGTTCAGAAAACTTGAAAGAGGTAGAAACAGGGAGCATAAAATAAAGCAGATTCTTATGAATATCCAAAATTGATTTGATTTAATTTCATGCAGTTTCTCAACTCCGGTACTACTGATATTCCAGGCTGGCAACTGGTTGTCAGGGAGCTGTCTTGAATACTATGGGAGACTAAGCAGCATGCCTAGCCTCTACCCACTAGATCCCAGCAGCATCCTTTTCCAAAACAAACAAAATTGTATCTAGACATTGCCAAATGTCCTCTGAAGGGCAAAATCATCTTGATTTGAAAACCACAGCCTTAACAGGAGAAAAATCAGTGAAATTAGTAGGTGGGAAAATCTTATATTTAAATGTGAACTATCTGTAAGTAGTTTTGATTCAAATAGGTTTATCCTAAAACTATCTGGACTAAAAATACAAAGAACCAGGACTATGATTGTAATACATTTTCCCAGAGGTAGGCCATGTGGTCCTGTTCTCAGCTTGGAACCTATAACAAGGTAATGAAGGTAAAGGGATATGAATGTCTCCCAATCAGCAAATACTTTTTTTGAGTACCTATGACATGAAAGAAATGGTGAGGTGTGTAGAGGTGAACAACACAGTTGTTACAAAGGAGGTTACAATCTCATGATGAATTTCCAGTGCTGTTCTCACCTTTTGCTTTTTTTCTTTTAATTAGCATCTGCTTGGCATTTACATTTCAATAGCTGAGGGAATTGCAAATGTTATGCAGTCTTAAATGGTACTGTTAGGGACCAACCAGGACACACAGCTCATTTCTCTGTAATATTTCACTTATATCATTTTAGGAAATAAACGATTATATTATTGCCTAAAATTAAGAATCCCAGTTCTTTTCCCCCGGGTACATCCCTCCACATTTCTTTATGAAGGGTAATAAAAATACTGAAATTGTTATTAAGAACTACAAATTGAATTCACAAATATAGTGAACTTAGACTATAATGATGCAAAAATAATACTTTTCTCATACTGGATTATTATTATTTTTTGAGAGGTTTTTGCGATAGGGCATGTGCGCTCACCAGAAAGCAAGAAATCACCCCCTGGGGAGGATGGCCACGCCGCAATCCCTTCTCCTCCATTCTCCTCTTGGGATCTTGGGCATGCACGCACATGCACCTGGCATGAGTTTAAGCCACCGGGTCCAGGACTCAAACCATGGCTGACTACATGGGAGTCCAGTGACATAGCCATTATGCTAACTGCTGGTCCCCTCATACGGGATTAGTAACATTTCCAATTTTATTTTTAAATATACAGGATGAATAAAAGAACTGAAAGTCTCAAGTGAAATGGAGTACTCAAGAGTTTTCATTTTATGACATGTAATAAAAAGTGGCTTAAAACCCACTGCACTAACATCTCTAAGAATTTTTTTTTTTTAAGAGAGATTTTTGCAGGGTATGTGCACTCACCGGGGGGACAGAGAGACAGAAAGCAAGAAGTCACCCCTCAGAGTGGGATGGCCATGCTGCAATCCATTCTTCTCCATTCTCCTCTTGGGATCTTGGACATACATACATGTACACACCTGTGCCTGGCATGAGTTTTAAACCACTGGGCCCGGGACTCTAACAGTGGTTGACTATGTGGGAGTCAAGTGACTTAACTACTATGACATCTGCTGGTCCTATGTTCCCAAGAATTCTTATTTAAAACTATAAAATGTGTTAAAATTCCTTCTGAAGTATAAACAGGAATTCATCTTCCCACTTTTTCAATCCTGTACTTCTGAATCCAAAGACATCTGATTTTCCTCTATTTCTGGTTTTATTATTATTAAATGTTTCTAGAGTAAATTAAGAGTTAAATATTTTTAGCAATTAGCAAATGCCAAAACCATAGAATAGGGATTTAAATATATATAAAGAAATGTTTTGACACAAATACAAGAATTAGTTTGATTCCAGGTGTGAGCTTAAGTGACTCTTCTTACAATCCCAGTTGGCCCACTTTACCCAAATTTTAATTTACAGAATTATTTCTTGTTTATTAAAAAAGCCCTAGAAGCCACCACTTTTCAACTAGTGATTTATGTGTTCTGTACTATAATAAGTAAAACATCACTCTCTCGAGATAGAGGCAAAGTGGAATAGTATTTCAATCCTTCTCAATGGATCTAAATACTGATTAGGAGTCCAGGCAAGTTACTTAATTTCTCCAGGTCTTTACTATAAAGTTGGTGTAAATTCTGGCCTTTTCTTACCTCACGTAGTTGTCCAGAGGCCCTCATAAGAAAATGTAGCGCCAGCAGAAAAGCATTCCTACAAATGCTGTATCAGAACCAGCCATAATGTCGGTGTTAGAATCAAGTTCTTTCCGTTGAATCACTGGGCTTTTTCTTTCACACCATTCAGAATTGAAAATACCATGCCCCCTGCTGTTGAAACGTGAGTACATCTGGTTGTTGGTTAAATGAAAAAGAACAATACTGGAAACTGCATCTTTATAATGAAGGTAAAAATCCCAAAGCAAGAATTTAATAATCTTCAGAGAGGAAGAAACTACCTTACCAAGAAGAGCATGGCTTCCACTTGATGCACTGATAGAGGTAAATAAAATGAATCCTAATCAGAATTTCTTGGTTGTGAAACTTCATCAAGTGCTTCTCTCTTGATTTATTTACACTTCCTACTCTAAACCCTAATGCCTTGGGCTTCTGGACCCAATCTCGTGAACTTCTTTGCTCCTTCCCCAGGTAAGATAGGAAGCTTCTGACTGATGTCAGGGTAAATGAATGCTTGCTGTTTAAAAGGAATACCATGCACCACAAAGCTGATTTTTTTTTTTTTGAGTTTTTTTGCTATAGGCTGCGTGTGCTCACTGGAGAGACAGAGACAGAGATAGCGAGATATCACCTCTAGGAGGGAATGCCACTCTGCAATCCCTTCTCTTCCATTCTCCTCTCGGGATCTTGGGCACGCACACATGCACCTGGTGTGAGTTTTAAGCTGCTGGGTCTGGGACTCAAACAATGGTCAACTATGTGGGAGTCCAGTGACATAACCATTACACCATCTGCTAGTTCCTTTCTTTCCTTTTGAGGAGGAGCTATAGTTGGGAGTATTAATGACAGAAAAAGTTCTAAATGTTCATTAATGTGTACCTTACCCTACATTCCAACGGGATGTTTCTCAAGTACACAGAACTTGTCCAATTTATTTTTATATTTCTAATCCCTAGAATAATCCTAATTCATAATCCACAGTTGGTGTTTACCTGATATTTGTTAAATGATATCACTTTGCTTTGGATCTCAAGCTGACTGGGAGAAAAGGGCTTGTCTGCATCTTCAGCCCGAGATGTATCCTTAGCACAGGTCTTCCTACAAACACGTCTCTGGCCCAGACTTGGCCACTTATATCCAACCTTCATGATCCTAGGCTCCAAAACTCTCCATGTTCTCAAATGACATTTGTTTCTGGATTTGGGGGCATACTTTTAACTAGTATGTAGGGAGTGCGCTGCTACAATTTCCACTATTATTCCTTAATGCTGAGCAACTGTGAAAAAAGTGAAAAAGATACAAAGTCCATTTTGACCAAGTATTCCTTCCCACCGAGACTTGTACAACTTTTTGCCACATTTTTATTGGCTATCTTTTAGACTGCAACATTAAGAAATGTAATCTTTTCTTTTTTTTCTAGAGACAGGATGGGGCCGGTAGGTGGCATGGTGATTAAGGGTGCTGGACTCCCACATGGCCAACTGTGGTTCGAATCCCACACTAGGTGGCTTGCTTTCTCGCTTTCTCTCTGTCCCTCTCTGGTCAAATTAAATAATTCCAAAAAATACACACACACACACACACACACATATACATATGTGTGTGTGTGTGTGTGTGTATATATATATATATATAAAGACAGGATCTTGCCATGTGGCAATCTTCCTACCTGACTCTCTGGGTAAACTGCCACTGGTATACTGGTATATGTCACTGCACTCAGCCTTCAGGTTGGGCCAGAAATTGAACCTGGGGATCCTGTGTGGCTTCAGTCTGAGAAGCAGCAACATCTCATCAGTGAGCACCTCTGTGACTAGGCCAGTTAGAAATGTGCTTTCTTAACTTAAAGGAGAATTTTAGAAGTTTCAAAAAAAAAACAGTACTTTCCCCATCAATCCAGTAAACCATTTTACCAATTGATCTTTTATTTTTATTGCATACTTATTTTACAGAACCACTTAATGTTAAAATGGAATTATAAAAATGTCTTCCTATGATTCTTTTCAATGGTAGAGATGTACATTTTTATACAAATATAATCAGTAAACATAATTTATGTTTTAGGCAACATTTTTAGTCTCAAACATTCTGCATACGATTTTACATATATCAGTATTATTTTATGTTTATATAATAGTTTATGCTAGCAATAATAATACACCAAAATTTACTTATCCACTTCCCAACTGTCAGACTTTAAAAAAAAATTTGTAAGAATAAAACTGCTAAAAACAGCTTTATATAAGTAGCCTTATAAATTTTAAATATTTTTCTGGGCATATGCTACTCAAAGGGAGTTAGCATGTCAAAAAAAGAGTGGTTTAAAAACTCCTGTCATAGCCTTCTAAATAGTTCTTCAAGAGGATTATTACCATACAATGCTACTGGTGTGAGGGCACATACAATTTTAAAAATATTGCTAATATAATAGCATGAACTAGATCAAAGCTGTTTCAATTTGTGTCTTTAGTATACTGATCAATTTGAGTATCATTCCAAGAATTGACTTTTTTTTTTTTTTTTGAGAGAGAGATTTTTCTATAAGGCGCTTGCACTTGCCATAGGCAGAAAAAGAAATCACTCTCCAGGGGGAATGGTCATGCTGCAATCTCTTCTCCTCCATTCTTCTCTTGGGATTTTGGGCATGCATGCCCATGTGCCCAGTGTGAGTTTCAAGCCTCCAGGTCTGGGATTCAAACCGTGGTTGGCCATGTGGGAGCCCAGCCACATAACCATTATACCATCTGCTGGTTCCTAAGGATTGACTTTTATTTGCCTTTTCTCATTTGTATTTGAGCCCTTCAATAATTTATAAATTTGCCTAGTAAAAGTACAAAGCTTTACAGCTTTGCATCTACTTCTAAAAAAACTAAGTACTATGTCCATGGGTAATGCGTATAACTTTATTCCATCCTTCTACTACCATTTTCCTTCTACGTATTAATAGTACACATTTTTCACTTTTCTTCCAGTTAGGATACATTGTCAATGTTTTTAATTTTCCTGAATTTCCTTTGTACCTGTATTAAGATGAGAATGGTAGTCTATTTTTACCTTTATAATTAATACTTTGATTAAACTGGAATAAATTCTATGATCATATGTACAGTGAACTTAGTATTTTTCTCCACACAGACATAGCTAGTCTTTCCATCAATGACTACGATGTATTTATTTTCAATCAGTTTTTTATTCTTAAGCTTTCTATTCAGAAGCACAGAATATTTAGAAAGGTAGCTTAATACTATACTTTAAGGATTAGAAGGTCAAGGTTCCCATTTCTCTCCATGTTTAAAAAGAAAGTGCATCTTGCTTACTTTCCTACATTATTTATCACAATTCTGTCAAACTACATAAAGCATCCAGTTTGAATGTTAAATAGAATTGTAATAAACCTACATACTGTCACACATTGGCATTCCTTTGGACATGACTTCATATACATTATCTAAACTAATCCTCATGATAATTCTGTCAAGTATTATTTGTCTTAAAAATGATGAAAAGGAAACTAAGAGTGATTTCCCCAAGATTATACAACTAGTTATGCAGTGAAGTGAGACCGAGAATTCTGTCTTTTGTAGGACTCTCCATGGACCACTTTTCCATTACAACAGAATGTCTCTCACAAGAGTATCCACATATTTCAAATTTAGTTCTTTCAACCTGCTTCTATTTAAATCTTTCTTTAATTTATTCCAATACAGTTGTGTAACTTTCTATAAATGGTTCATATGTATTAATACCTAAATGTTTCAGTTCACCAAAAAATTGTACATACTGCAACTTCTTGAATTTTTTGTTAATACATTGATGTGATACCATAGGTTTAGCTAAAGTCGTATTAATAAAAAATAATTTGTCTTGCTTTCTCTTATCTTTCTCATTTTGTGGATGCCTTCTTTCAACTTGCAATGACAAGTTTCTTCAACCATATATTTAAAAAGTGCCAATAATTTAAGTTCTGCTTCAGAAATGCTTATGTTTTCCCAACAGGAATAATCTCAGTTCTTGGTTTTAATTACTTATCACACTGACCAGCCTACAAAACATTAACAAAAAGAGTTAAAATGAATTAATTTTTAAAAAGTTGTCTGTAGTTAATACTTTTGATTTTACCTTTTTGTAAATAGCTGTCCTGTTGAATACTAGCCTTCTAGTGCTAAGTCACAATTATTTGTTGCTATATTGTTTGCCAACATTTCATTTGCATCTGTTCACAATGAGATCCTTTAAAAATGTTTGACTTTCAGTACTGAAGCCATTATTTGTCCCGAAATGCATAGGAGCATATCAACTTTCATGATACACAAATATTATCTGTTCTGTAAACATCTGAAAAGGTTTACCAATAAGCCCAGTAGGGTCAAATTCTTGTCAGTAAACTGTTATATGGTCCCCTAAATTTTTAAATGCTTTTTATTAATTATAATTTCCCATTTCCAGCTTACTTTGTATTCATTTAAGAAACATTCATTCTGTTAGTTTTCAGAACAATCCTTATTTCAGACTTAACCCGTTCTTCCTATTTTCATTATATTCAGCTATACCTTGTATCACAACTTCTCCCAGTTCCTGTTGATGATTTGTTTGCCAAAGGGTACATACACTTGCCAAAGAGGGAAAGTGAGAACCCCCCAGGAAGAGGGCCAGGCTGCAATCCCTTCTCATTCGTTTCTTGGGATTTGGGGCACATATGTACACATGCCCGATGTGATTGTCTGGGACTTGGTCAACCATGTGGGAGTCCAGCACCTTAAACCACCATGCCACCTACTGGCCCCTCTTTGGTAGATTTTTTTATGACTAATCTGTGATACTAAAAATCTTTTCAATAGGTCTGGACTACCTTCGCTCCATTTTAGTTATATTTTAGGGTTGGACAGTGGCACAACGGTAAAGTGCTGCATCTGAGTGGCAGATACGAGTGAAAAGGCTGATTTTGAGTCCAGAGACTTCCCTGAGTGTACAGGGCACACACGTGCCTGTGATCCAACTGGGCTGAGGAGAGATGGAGTGTGGCCTCAGGACCCTGTTAGAGGTGCTATTTTTGTGTCCCTCTCCTTCATTCATGGAAGAGATAACCTTGAAACAACCCTTTTCATTCAGTTACTGTTTTATAGGTCATTTCAGTTGTTTTGATAGCTTTCAACTTCAGGATTCTCCCACTAACACTTCCCTATATTTAAAAAAAATCATGATTCCCATCTATGACTTCACTTCTTTCACTAAATGGTTTACTAAATGTCTGTCCTGTTTTCCTCCCATAGAGAAAAGCAACACATTGCTGTATTCAGAGCATATTCTGACCCGTACCGTCTGTAATTTTTAGTACCACAATCTTCAGACCAAAAGCTGTTGCCGCAGAGCATTATTTCATTAAAATTGAACCAAATTCTGCTCTAATGAAACCCACAGCTCTAAAATACATTTAAATAATCTTAAACCTCTTATTTTTTTTCAATTGCCAGAGGGTGCATGCATTTGCCAGAGAGAGATAATACCTCAACGGGGCATAATCACACTACAATCCCTTCTCCATTTCTCCATCCTGTGAAGATTTGAGGCTCTCGTACACATGCTGTGATTCAAACCATGGTTGCTATGGGGGATACAGCTCCCTTAACCACTAGACTACAGGACCAGCCCTTAAACTTCACCTCTCTCCGATTTACTAATAAGCTGTAGGACCAGTGCTGTCCACTTTTCTTCCCTAACAATACTAGCCTCTTACTTTTCCATCTCCTACAGTACTTACAGTTTTCTAACAGTGAATGTTAGCAGAATGACCAAGGTTTTTGGAATCATGAAGGCTTAGATTCCAGTGCTGGTTCTTCTACAAACCAGACCCTGAGTAAACTATTTATGGTTCTGTATCTCCTCCTTGGACAGCTGTGAAACTACATGAGAAAGTACAATATCAACAATGTAGCACATAGTAATTGTTGTTCCAGAGCGTTAGAAAGAGCTGGAGTCCATCAGGATCATTATCTGTCTGAGAAATAGAAGTTTGCCTCTTCTGGCAGCTCCGCAGGTTTTCACCACTGGACTACAACCAGCTGAATGATTTCTGGTGGCTTCGGGGAAAAAAGTTTCTATTCTCTGAATAAAAAGTCCAGAGGTGAAAGTGATTATGAAGGCTGATCCTCTCTATCTGTGGGGCATCGTAATTCTCTGATTCATACCTATCAGTTGTAGCTATTGTAAATTAAAGTGGTACAGATGACAAGAGGTATATTTCATCCTTTCTGAAAAACATGGGGTAATCTACTTACAATGGGTTTAGAAAACATCTACAGGGGCCAGATGGTGGCACGGCAGTACACAACTAGAACCACATGCTAAGTTCCTAGGTTCGCATCTTAGGGCCTCCCTGTACGTGTATGTACCCATAATCCTGGCTGGCTAAGGCTGGGAGTGAGTCATGGCATAAGTCCCTGTTGACAGTGTCTGTCTTCCTGTCACGGAAAAAAAAAAATCAACTTTAAGAAAATAAATTTTAAGAAAAGAAAGCTTTTCCTATAATCCTAGGTTTAAAATGCCTCACTCAGTTTCTCCTCAAGATTTCAGAACAGCCATTTCTGAAAAAAATCAGTATCTTTCCTGGAATCACTTATTTATTTACTTTTGGTTTGAATCACTTTTTTATTTTGTATTACTTTTGCCAAAGTAGGGCTTTGCAGATATTTTCTGAAATATTTAACCAGAACTAATCTTATCCTCCTAGATGTTCTTTGTAATGAACTTCCCCAAAATGAGCTCTCTATTAACTGAGCTCTAGCTCTTTTTGTAAAGCAAACAACTACAGTGATGTTTCATCAGTTATAACAGTCAAGTTGGTAAATTAAACTGCAAAATGTATGGTAAACCTCAGACCTTCACAGACAGCAAAGGATCATGCAAAGTTAAATTTTTTGACAATTATAAACATACGTTACCATATTGGCACTTGTATTAGCTGCTATTCCTACCACAAAGTGTACATGTTTATATTATAAATAAAAGACTCACATAATTTGCTACTTGTGTTTGTATTTCACTATTTAGAGGTGACAGCACCTGTAATCACTGCAAAATTAAAATATTCCTTAAGTATTAATTGTTCTGTGAACAGTGGTAAAAATCCAAAGATCATTAATAGGTACAATATTACTTTCTTTAAACCCAAGCTGCTAATATATATACCCCTTACATATATACCCAGTGTTCAAATAAAGCTAACTGTTTTAGGATTCTGCATCATGGAGCCCATTTTGCAACAAAACGTTCAATAACTTATAAAGCAGTTACTCATATATTAACAAAGATACCTGATAATAAATGTCTCAAAGAGTTAAAGACAACATCTGCATAGCATTCATCATATAACCAATTCTAATCACTCACAAGGAAACTACTCTTTACATTAAACATTCTGACAGCAAGATAAATACCCAAAGTAGCCCGCTTTGTTCTTTTCTAATTTTGAAAGTGCTTGCCTGGGCTTTCGAGGCTTTTGCTCTCCTTGGAGGATTCTAGTTTGGCCATTTTTATATTACTAGTTCCAGACGCTTCTGGTTGCTTATCATCACCATCAAAGATAATGTCTTCTGGATTTGGAGGTGGAGGACAGAATTCTTCATTTGGAAAGATCTCCTGGAAAAGTGTTTCCGCTTGCTTGACTGCATGATCATTTCCCAGTTCACAGTCAGGCCCAGAGCAGACATAAACATTGGAAGGTAAGCCATTATATGAGCTTCTGTTGATTCCTGAGGAATCTCTCATATTAAAATAAAGTGCCCACAAGAGTTGTGGCTTTGTAAGTTCTTCCTTGTCTATTTCTGCTTCAGCATAAGGGGTGAATAATTTCTTCACCACTGATTCTAAGTCTTCTCTTGCTGTTTTTGAAGATGAACAGGTCAAATGTACCAGGTAGGTATCTTTCATGCATGTCATGGTTGCGGAACATAATTCCATGACTCGAACAGCACAAGCCCCTGGTTCCACTGGAGGCACTATCAAAATGGAAACCTGCTGATCTGACTCTGTCTTTAGTATGGACTGATCAGTAATGAGCACGGCCCTAGAGATCTGCCTGTACTGCACAGTTGAGCATGCTTCCTCAGAAAGGTAACTATCTTCCACAATAAAATATTTAGCATTTATTCTTTGACCAAAGTGATCTATAATTGCTTTACATCTTCCAGATTCTCTGTCGACCACAAAGCATTGTACTTTATGGCGAAGACAATAGATTCCACCAAAGACGGCAGACATCCTGCAGAAACACTGAGGAATTTCTCCTTGGCCATACAAAGGAAATAAAAAGGGAGTGTTGCCAAATCGCCCAAGACACTGAAGGAAGGTTTTTGTTGCTTTAAGGCCATCTAACGTACTACAAGATGATTCTGATGTCATTGCAATTGAGTGTAGTATAAAATGCCGGAGGTTGGGAGTTAATTTTTTAGTTTTTAAGTACTCTGAAAATAAACATTGCTCGAAAGCTTGGTATTCATCTGGATGTTGTTCATAGTCTAAACAGAATGTGAGAAATTTCATTAGCATCCTCTTTTCAACCATGGTAAGTTCTTTGCTATTAAAGACATCTGCTCTGGAACAAGGCACCTGTTCTACCTTTCCTTCTCGAAATGCAAGAATCCTAGTGACATTTTTAAATTCTGCATAACGGCTAACATTTGATTTGATTAAAAGATCAATTAGTGATCCTTGAGAATACAGCAGCTTTGATACTAAGTCAATATTAAATCTCCTCCCTTCTTTAACTATTTGAGAGTAAGAAATCCTATTCTTCTTTGGTTTATCAGTATTGTCCTTTACTCTCAGTTTGTTTTCATCTTTCTCTCCATCTGAAACTGTGTACACACAAGTTTTATCTTCACAATACTTTTCCTTCTCTAGCCATTCCTCTGTATCGGTTACTTCTGGTGAAAGCTCTCTGTCACTTTTCTGAGTGTTTGTGCCAGGGACTTCATAGCTAGTCAAATACGATGTGTGTCTTTCTTCAGGCAAGCATGCAGAATCCAGAGTGAGGATGCTAGATTCCACTGAGGAAGGATTTTTCTGCAGAGCACCAACCTCTTGAACATTGTCTTCCACATCCTGACCGACGTAACAAAAAACTTCTGTGTGCTGAATGGTTGCATCCTCCTTGCGAAGAGTGATAGCTTCTTCTGTTTCATCAATCAGGTCTTGCCAGGTGGCAGTACCTTCTTCCCCAACATTACTGTTCTGCTGACACTCCTTCAACCAGGACAGTAATCCTGAGAAGCTGAAACTAGCCCAGTTTCCTCCATAGTAACTTCTTGAATCAACATGCAGAACCCTCTGACCACTTCTGGAACATGCGGCTGCAAGGATGGATTCCGGCAGACCTGTCCCTATTATAACCACATCAAATTCTGTGGGAAGACTGTCCGCCATCCTAGCATGGAAAGTGTCTGTGGAAAACTGTCGATGAAGGAACTCTGTATGAATTTAGGCTGAGAGCTTGGCTGAGGTGTGAATATTCCAGAATAAAATCTCCTCAGTGATGTTCCAGCTCATCTTCAAAGTGCCAAGGTAGGTCCTAGCTGTTTAACTGTGACCCTTTATAAACACTGTTTTTTCTTTAAGTCAGTAGTATAAAAACATGACCAAGTACATCTAAGCACATCTGAGAATATTAAAACAGATGTATGTTTTTCATTTCTGCATTTCCTCTCTAGCAGTAATTGTCACATGCATTTGTGACTGGAACTCTTCTCTGAAAGAAGAAAATTCAAGAAAGAATACAATTGTAAACAATGTAAGAGAAAAGTAATTTCATGCAACAATTACAATTCAATGGAGCCCAGATTCTTATTTGGATATAAAACCTCTACTAAATCAAGTCGTTAAATGCTTTCTCACATTTTCTAATTTCTTGAAAATGAATACATACCCCTCCTCCAAATCAGGCAATACAATAATGGATATAATGTCTCACAAATTAATTCTATAACATTTGCTTTAAAAAATATTTGAATTAAACTATATACAATTATGAGCTTAGACTCTAAGAAATGTATAGCTCCATTATTTATGGAAGCAGCTTATATAACTGTGTCTCCAGACACGATGAGGAATATTTCTGTGGCCAATATGTGCATGATTCTGGAACAGCCGAAAAGTCATCTTTCCATACTCCAACTATCCGTAGGATCTTGCGATTGCAACATGAGAATATTTTGACTGAGTCAATCAGGCTGATTATTACAAAAGGTCTAATTCAGTAAAACAGCTGGCATCTTAAAATATTTTAGTAAATAAAACTAAAAGGAAAAAGTATTTACAATAAATCTTTACATGAATGCACATATGCACAAATGTTTTATGAACCAAAAGGAAAATTTCTGGCATGTTAAAATATTTTAATGTAACACTTCTAATTCGAATAGGGTAACGTTTGCATTATGGCAGACTCCATTTCTGCAACCTCGATCTCTGTATCCCAGGAACAACATGTCTAAATACCCTCTACACCATGGCAAACATGTCCCTTGTTCTTGTTTTCTGAGAGGCAGTGAAGAAAGGCTTCTGGTAATTTCCACTGTAATGCTGGTCATTGTCCATGGGCAGAACACCTACGTGATGCTAGGTGTGGCCAGACGTGGAACAGCCCAGGGCAGAAGGGCCTACCCACCTAGAGGTCTTTAGGCTAAAGCATGATATATATACATGCCTAGTCTTTCGTGTCCTCATCACTGCACAGTAAGCATGAGAGTTCGTGGAGTTCTACTTTTTTACTGCTGTAAGATCAACTGAAATCTAGATCATTACAAGCTGAATCAGACCAGGTAACGGTGATTAATTACCTTGGATACTGGTAAAATAAGCCATTCGATTGGAACTTAGACTAAGCTTACTAGGTCACTGATCTAACTGGTCAGTTTAACTGAACTGGTAATAGACCTCTTGTCTACTCAAAGTCTCTTCCTCTAGACCACAAGGGATTCTACTTACTTACCATACTCTAAGAAGCCACGAACTGAGCAAAGAATGAAACAGTTGCCTGGCCTATTCACGTGGACATGTCTTATGTGTATTTCATACCTACATTCACATATATACACATACCCACAGGGTTTTCAAAAATTTCATGGGAAACTACATTCTGAAAAAACTATGCATTAGGGCCAACAGGTGGCATGGTCGTTAAGGCGCTGGACTCTCACAATGGCCAACCGTGGTTCGAGTCCTGGACCTGGTGGCTTGCTTTCTCTCCTTTTCTCTCGTTTCTCTTCCTCTCTCTTGTCTCTCTGGTGAGAACACATGCCCTATAGCAAATTAAAAAAATAATAATAAAGTTAAGTGATTTTTAAAAAGGAAAAAGAAAAAATTATGCATGGATTTCAAACTTTATTGCACCAAAATAAACTCATATTTTAATTCTACTTTTCCAAAAACTTGAGGCCTATCATATATCTGACTTATTTATCTGCCTTCTCCTGTAGTGTGTCAAGAGGAAAGACAAAACCCCAGAGAAGAGGTATTACCACTGTATGTCTTATTCTTATCTTTGTGGGGATTAGAGCTGATAGTGAAAGTAAGAGCAGAGGACACAAGCCATTAAGTGCTAACATAAGGTACCTTCTAACCTATAGATACCAAAGAAGTCTTTCAACAGAGAAAGTAGGACAACCTAAAAGAACACTAAACTCAGCTACATAGTAATAGAAGAGAAAGCTGGTGACTGGAGAGAGACAATGATGTGGGAAGGTCCACATAATAGCTTAGCCACAGGATCAAGAGAAGGCCCTCTCTCGTGCCATCAGACCAATAGTCTTTCTACTAGATAGTCTCCTCAAAGACCTCTGAGGAAGCAGCTACTTCTGCCATTTAAAAAAAATTCTTTTACAACAGGTTCTAGATCAAGGAGAATGACAGGTACGAAGTACCTCCCTTTCTTCAATGGTAGCTCTAATTTAGAAGCACAATCTTTCCAGTTTACTCTAGGCAAAGAAAGCCTTTCCCTTTGCTAGGAACTGTTAACACCCCACAGTAACCTCTTTATTGACACCTCAGGACTTAAATCCTTCACCCCAGAGTTTCCACCTCTAATTTAAAAATAGGGATAAAGTCATGGTTGAAAGCACTAATTAAATGCCTTTAGAAAAAGAGCTGCCCTCAGGTAAAATGCCCTGTGGTGAACATTTCTAGCGGTCTTAGAAAATAATTTCTGATTGAGAAAACTCCAGCAGAGATGGTAAAGGAGAAAAAAAGGAAAGAACAGACTAGGAGATACAACAGGGTAAGGTCAGCAGAGGGCAGGGGTGAGGAAGAGGGTGGCTGCTAGTACTAAAAAGGAACTCAAAACACACTGGTTTTCAAACTCCCTGACACAGAAACAAAATTTCCCAGCACGGAAAGGCACTACAGGCAAACTTTCAAGTCTGTGAATAAATTCTTGTTGCCCACCTAAGGGAGCATTATGGTTATTTTAGCCCTACCTAAAAAATTGAGAAGTATTTTTAATCAATATAAAGGGTGTGATCAGATAGCCATTTATATCAGCACCTACATTTGGGTTTGTGACAGGAGGGGGAGGTTAGTGAGTAAGAAAATATTTTTGATAATGCCATAATGATTTTGTTCTCCCAAACCTGCCAAGATAAAAGCAACAGCAAATTGTCAATGGATTTCAAGATTCTCAGGAATCTTAAGACCTGAGAAATACACATTTCTAATTCAAATCTTTATAAAAATCAAATTCCTGAAAACACACAAAAAAATTTTTCCTCAAGCTCAGAAAAATCACATCTCAGAGCCAGACAGCTGCCCAAGGAAACATAACTGGACTCACACCTAAGGATTCCCAGTTCTCCCCCGCGGCTTCCCTGAGCACACGGGCACACAAGTATGTGTGATCCAGGCCAGCAAAGGGCAAGTGGATCGCAATGTGAAGACCCTTTTGTGGGCGCCTGTCTCTGCTTTTCTCATGGAATATACAAATAAACTTTCAAAAAAGGAAAGAAAATCACATCTTCAACGATGTGCTGGCCTGGTCATCCTTTGAACGTCGTCTCAGAGACACTTCAGTATTACCCAATGATTAGGAGTATGGCAGAAATACATCTTCGATTAGCGACCAAGTTCTAACTTAACGAAACCTACTGGCAGCACAGCTCATTATTTCATCTGAGCAGAGATCCTCTGAGCCACCTGTAATCTCACCTTCGGTTTTGCTGTGATGGAACCGATAAGGAGGAAAATAAAGTAAAAAAACAGCTTCTAGGGCACAAATCAATTTGCATTCTAAGTACCAGAATGAAACCGGCTCACTCATAAGCATTCGAAGGTTAACAAATGTTAATGACAAAAAAAAAAAGACACAGTGCTACTATTTTAGGTTTCTAACTCTCATTTTAGGCAGCAAATGGTACATGAATCACACATCGCCTTCCCCACTCCCGCCAATTTTCACGACTTAATCACTTTTGTTGTCTTGACTCTCTTGACTCTACAGGACCTGTTTCTTTCCTCAAAGTGTAAACGCACGCCGTAGAG